TTATTTGGATGCTGTATTGAGAAAACTAAGATTGTCAGAACTACATGATATATTGACGTAAAACTTTTCAAACACAATCTGACCGCACATTTAGCTGTTCCAGAGTGAACAACAACTCTGAGATGCATAGGACATAGGACGAAACGCGCGTCCTGGATTCCACTACTAGTCACTATCCATCTTTGCTTATAATGCTAGTAAATTAGAGCAATAACGAGGCAATACGCACAGTATGCACATATGCCAACATGAGACTGATCAATTTCAGTCCTAAACATCAATAGAAAAGTAAAAGTAAAACAATATCAAGTCAATCAAACTTGTTAATAATACTTATTTATGAAATATAAAAGATCAATACGACAAATGAAAGATTAGGTGTATAACAAAGAGAAAGTTAGATGTTTATCATCTGCTCTTAATGAGTCATCTGATTTAATTTGTTCCTGTAACTATTTTGGGTACATGTTCAAAGATCCTTGTCTATTTACCGGTTAGGACTGTGATGAAGCATATACCTTGTTTCTATAGCGATAATTAACACCCACAAACAGCTGATTTGAGCTTTTGTTTAAACATAAGGTAGTTTGATTAACCTGTGAATGATATAATGATCTGATGTGAAAGGTGATTTTGGTGACAGAAATCTAGTATATCTCAATGCACTGTGACCTTTCCACTGATTCATAAATTTTCAAAGGATTACCATTTAGTGTCAACGGTCTGTTTAGTAGCTTTGAGTAATCTACAACAGTATAATTGGTACAAATACGGCCGATCCAAGATAGTCCATTAGTTAAAACTTTCATATTGAAGTTATTTATTTTATTTATATAAACACATAAACATTGGTATAAGGAGGCGCAAAATACATATGCGAAACATAAATCATTCGATTAATGTGAGGGCTGGGATAGTATCCGGGTGTTCAGACCGAAGTAGGTGATTTTCCTATGGGGCCACACTCGGAGCCTTCGACCTAAAGGTCTTATCAGCAAGGCAGTAGAGCAATTTCGAGAGGTGCAATCCCATGGTAGACGTTGACTAACAATAGGTTCATACTCCATTTGTTCCTTCAGGATACTGGAGCCAATTTGCACCATTGATTTTGAATCAGGATTTTCAAACGCCCCTAGGTAGATCCTCCATATCCACTAACCCGGCAAACTCCCTAAAATTTGCTTTTCTTCCTCTCAATTTCGTAAACAGCATCCCTAGTGTGAGAAGGCAGTGAGTAGGACTTCCCCTACTGCTATACAATTTTTAAAGAAGAAACTCTAAGCAAGTGCCTGGATGTCATATCAAACGCTTACATATTATCGACCAAGACACGGAGTACACATGACTGCTAAGTTGTTAGGTGTTTGTAGGTAGTTGACACAAAATTCTGGGACTAGATTTGGTGTTATTTGATACTTGTCAACGAAGTGTGTCCGTAATTCTGAAGGGACTGTAAATACATCTCGACCTTACAGCAGGTCACTTCCGAGAGGAATAATGGAGTAATAAATTCTCTGACTGTAATACTGGATGATACAGGATTGAATCCACCTGAGAGTATCCTCCCCCTCAACCTTGTAGGTATACTTTGCTGACGAGTGCCAAACAGCACAGTTTCCTATCGACTAGCTCCAACGGCTTAAAATGTTAATATACTACATGAGATGTCAGGTCACTTAGACTACTTACCACATTTTGACTTGATTGATAGAATTCAATCAGCACTAAAAAGGACATTACAGATATGAAATTGCTCACTGCTCAGTGATCAATCGACTGTTTTAATTTCTCTAAATTATTTCATGATTGTTTTTTCATTTATACCCATCGTAAGAAATCAATAATCGACCTCTTATGTACACATATATATTCATAGATAACTTCATGTCCTTAAACTAACGTGATATTCACTAGTGTGTTCCTACTTCATTTAAATCTGATTCATTTCACATCAAAAGCATGAATTATACAGTGTTTGTAATCATAATAATCAGAATAATTGAACTTAAATAACTAAGTCAATGGTAGCACTACAGCAGAACATTACACGTAATCATAAATGAAATATAATGGAAAGATATTTTTCAAACTTGTCAGATCTCAATTGAACGAAACTGTCTTTTTCTCATTAAATGCAAACAAAATAATTTGTTTCATTCAATATATTGATAATAATCAAATTTTAATAGTTGAATCCATGAGTCGGTGTAAGTTAGATCACCATTGAAAACCTGGAAGCACTGAACGAACGTTTCATCCTAGCATGCGAGGTTCCAATCCAGAATCTTCGGGCTCATGCGCAAGCGTCTAATCACTAAATAACTAACCTGGCCGGTATCCACCGGTGTTCATGTTTAACTTCACTCGATCCATACTCTTACGCAACTATTCATCCATTGTCTGAGGTGGATACCTGTCTCTACCCGACACGGATTAGACTCCAGTGCTTCCAAGTTGTCAGTGATGGTCTAGGTTAATTCGACTCATGAATTCAACTATTAAAACTACTACGATCTCCACAAATCCACCATTCCGATCAAAATAATTATATTATTAGCGTTCATATTTTGTATGTAGCTTATATTCAAGTATGTAGTGAGTTACCAGTAACCTATTCTTGATTGAACCACTCAAGTATCAAGGGACATTAGTTAGTCTACGACTGTAATGAGCTAATATTTATCAAAAATCCTAGTATTCTCATGCGTTAAAATTAAGACTTGTTTCGTGCTAATTAGACGAATGACAAAATCAATTGTATAATAGGATTGTTTAAACTATGTAGCCGTATAAGTCAGAATCTAGTGCTAGATAAACTTTACCACTATCGATCGGTAGCTATAAATTGTTGAATATTAATTTAACTAAATCCTCTTAAGTACAGAATTACTGAGTCAGTTTTGTTCTACTCTTCTTGTGTTATGGCTATTGTTACTATATGCCTATCGTAACCGATCTAAATGAAGTACATATCAGGTCTATGAATTTTTCAACTTTCCCCTTGACCTGTATTAATCATGTAACAAATGCAGAGAGGGAATTCTCCTTAATAACATTGGTTGTATCTTAAATGTAAATTGTTTTCTTTCTCGTTCAGTTGTGTTCTTGTCCAAATTGTTTACACATAAAATGATGTTTATTTGTCTGCCATTCATTTGATCATTCTGTTCGACACTGTAAATATACAAGAAGACTTAGTAACTGAAATTTTGTGACATAATCAATAAGCTAATTCTTTAGTCAGTTGTTTTAATTGTTTCCATTGACGTTTCATTATATGACAATTTTCAAAATCTTTTTCTTTTTTCACTAACAAGGATAATAATTATGAAGTCAAATGAAAAATTTATTTATTGCAACTGATGTATGAGATTTAATGAAAGTGAAATACCAAACATTGTCGAACATTTTACCATTGAGTTAGTAGCTGAGAGTTGTATACAAGAGCATGATTTCCATTCAGGATTTCATTCCAGCCATCTAATTGCTATTTAAGTCTTCTATGAACATGCCACTGTAACATATCCCAACTTTCGGATGAAAAAGCCAATAAAGGAAATGTTACGGCTTAAAATGAAATGCTCAATAAAAGTTATACTTTTACATGTATCAACCACCTATAAAATGATTGAAGAAAACATGTTTGATGCCATACACAAAATGAATGCTGAAGAGTAAATGCGTTTAGAATTCACGGAGACATACATTATACTCGAGTGACTGACTGTTACGTTCCCGTTAGTAAATTAGGAGTTGATTTCTGCAACAAAAACTCGGCTTCCATATATGTTTATGTATCAGTGTACTCATTTCAGTGTTTAATTCATAATGACATGAATAAATCCATTTAATAAGAAAAAGAGAATTCAGCGAAGAAAATTTTCTTTTCGACGAAATCATTTACTTAAGCTGTACATTCGTATATATAGTTAGATATGGAAAATGTGTTACAAAAACAATGGATTCGACAATATGAGGTTAATGTACTAATCAAGGGGTAAGGAAGAACAAAATTAATGGCTCAGATATAAACAAAAAACGACAAAACAACAAAAGTCATAATAATAAACTGAATGATAATTAAGAAAAGTTGTAAATGGTAATAATAATAAATGATTAGAGTTTAAAGTGCAAAATAGTAATTTAAAAAATATCGATAATAAAAACGTGCAGAAAAACCCAAAAAAAACACACATTAAAGGAATTAGGGCCAGAGAAGGATGAGAGGTTGGACAAATCGTTTCTGCACGCAATGTTCAGGCTTTAGTTTGTGGATTGTCAATGCCTCTGCGTTGCATGAAATACTGATTCCGAACCCCTTCGATCCAGTTCCTTTGACTCTGTAAACTATTTTAAACGAAGAGTCTTTTGGAGCGATATGTCCACAGTTGATTAAGTGCTTCTGTATCAAACTAGTGATTGTTTTTCGCTCCTCTTTCAAGAGCCAAGCCCGATAATGTTCCGAGATGCGTTTAGATAATGATTGCTTTGTTTTGTTCTCTGAGCTGGATGGTTTGGTCGTGGAGATAGAAGTGTTTATTAACCATTGTCTACACAAAATCCTTCAGATCCGTTGGCCAGACACAATAAACAGCAACCTACTATAGGAGAACAAACCAGATTACAGCAGAGGAAGAAATCATGAATAGGTACTGGAAGTGGATAGGATAAACATTGAAGAAAGCACCCAACTGTATCACATGGCAAGCCCTCACATGGAATCTTCAATGCTAAATGAGAGGGCAAGGATGACCAAAGAACACATTACGCCGAGACTGACATGAGAAAAATAAACGAAAATCGAATAGAACTAGAAAGGAAGGCCGAGAACAGAGTGAATTGGAGAATGATGGTCAGCGGTCTATACTCCATTGGGAGTAACTGGCGTAACACACTTTACCCTTAGAGATTACATTCATTTAAACAGATTGATTATTACTACTAATTGAAAACTCAACTCGAATTACATCATGTAAAAGAAAAAGAAAAGAAGGAAAAACTTACCTTTTTTCTTTTGTATATATAAAATATCGTAAAACTGTTGGTATGATTGAATTAGATTCACATTGAACTGGTGCCCAAAAGGATGAAAATTCTCCATATTTATAATCATTAAACCGTATCGTCTCATTATTATTATTATTATTATTATTATTATTATTATTATTATTATTATTATTATTATTATTATTATTATTATTATTATTATCAAATAATTGTACATTCAATAGAAATTGACTACATATAGAATTACGATCAGAGGAATCATTAGTAATACTACTACTACTAATACTACTATAAGTAGTAGTATAATTATTGACATAATCCATTAATATCCCATTGAAACAATAACCAATACCAATTAAATTGCATTTTTTTTATCATAATCATCAGTCATAGTGATGAAATTATTGAATAATTTCATATTATAAAATTCAATTGGTTGATTTAATTATAATAAATGAAATAAATGGACCACTGAAGTGACTACTATGAATTTAGTGTTCATCTTGTTGTGCTAATTATTTGAGGTAACTTTGACAGATGCATATATGTGCCTGGTCCTACGGTGTAGCTGACTGACTGAATTTCTGATCGTTACCAGAGGTCGGCATCAAACGATGTTAATGTTTAACTTCAACTTATCCACAAAATCGAGCGACTCATCCACCATTGTCTTCAGTGAGTTACTTCTCACCAGGGACATGGTTGAACTCCACTAGACACTACTTCTCACTAGAACTCCAATATATACATCTTGAAACCAGTGGATACGCACTGCTGAGGAATCCCACAATACGAAGAAACGGCCGTCCAGTACTTTCAGGTTTTCCATGGTGGTCTAGCTTCAACTGACTCACGATCTTAACCATTGAAATCTTCTTGATACGTCTTTTGTTGAATTAAATTTTTTGGCTTCATCAGTGTTTAAGTATAGACTCTAAATAACTAAGAACTGAGAATGTGAAGTAGACTAGGTGAAAATAAGTTTTAAAAACGTCGACTACTAATACACGTTAATCAATAATTGACGATATTCCCATAGCCTTTATGGGTATTTCACAGAGAAAAGTGCTTCTTGAATATAACACACGCTAAACAGAGCAACTATTTTAAACAAAATGCTTTATGATATTTTATTACTACTGATTATGAATAAAGTAGTTCATCTTCTTAAATAAAATTCTACGAAGTGGTGTTCAGAAGTTGATTAATCTTTTGTTATTACGTTGATTAAGTAATCACCATTTATAGTTTCTTCACAATACTATTTGAGATTAGATATGTTATGGATACGATGAGATTAATAAATTTTCATTCCGTTCAATTTCTTATCATGGATTGTTTAACCTACGACGTTTGATCATCTGAATAAACTCAGAAATCAAATGAAATCAATGATTAATATGATTGAGAAGATTTGTAGTTCAGATTGATGATTTCGGTGGAGTTTTGTTCTCTGAGCTGGATGGTTTGTTCATGGAGCATTCACAGTCCTTCAGGAGAACAATGAAAGCTTGTTGTATATGATATGATGGAAAGAAAAGTTAATTTTCGATTGATTTACTCATAATGGGTTTTGTTCAAGATTACTTCCGCTTTGATTCAATGTAATGATTACTCAATGTAGTGTTAATGTCGAACTTCAACCAATCCATGAAGTTGCGCTATCATCGTCCATTGTACTGAGGTAAATACCTACCTCTAACCGACATGGACTAGCTCCACTGTTCAATAATTCCCACTAGAACTCCGAGAATTCCCACATGAAGCCAATCGCTGGTGAGCGCGTGGGTTCGAATCCTGCAAGCCGGGCCGTGGATGCGCACTGTCGAGGAGTCTCACAATAGGACGAAAATGACATCAAGTGCTTACAGGTTTTCAATGGTGATCTAACATCAATCAGTTCATGATCTCAATCGAAACTCAACAACCTTATAATTATGCATCAATTACTCATATCGGCATTACAAATAATCGAGTTATTTACAGTATACCATTAGGTATTTGTGGCATGTTTTGGCCTTGTAATTGATCTATATTAGTCCGTTACTTTTTGAATCACGATAATAGGAGGTTGAATAACTTGTTGTTCGCGTATTCTAGTCGATTATTGGGGGATAGGAGAAATTGTGTGGGCTAATATACGACAGGATTGTGGTGGCTATTAATTAAGCGATGGTTAGTAATATAATCAGCACAAAAGAAGCTAATTATAATTGTACTGAATAAATAAATGAACCTATTAAATGAGCATATAGAAACTCAATGCATAATACAATGGTGTCTCAAATAAGATTGATATCAGAATGAACATTTTTTAGACTGTTGGAGATGTTTTTGTAGGCAATTGTCATGGAAGCCTGAAATTAGACTATATGTAACTTGACACTCGTTAGCTGAAGAAATTCGTAATCTGAAGCGAACTGGTACTCTTCGTAAGTTTTAAATTAATCAAACTCAAATAATTTTAAACTCATGAAGGTAACATTAGAATATTGTGAATGAAGGTGGATAAGGTTCCGTTTAATTTGAAAAAAAGATTGAATGACAAAAAGAAATACTGAAATGAAATGTATGAAAGAAACTTTGAGATGGTGGAGAAGATTTGTAACCCAGGTGGATGACTTTGATGGAGTTTTGTTCTCTGAGTTGGATGGTTTGGTCGTGGAGTTTTCGTCGTTCTTCTGAACTACTTCTACTTGAAGTTCATACCGATGATGTCGTTCAGAAGTGTGATTGATGAACACCGTGGATCTGTTGCAGATGTAAGGGCGCGGATCGGTAAAACAAGAGCAGCACATTTGCAGTTGAAGAGCGTCTTAAAACTAAAAACAACTGTCAACCAACACCAAAGTCAGAATTTTCAATGCAACTGTCAAGACGGTTCTACTGTATGAGATGAAAACATGTAGAACTATGTAAGTTATAATCCAGAAGATACAAGTGTTTATTAACAGTTGTCTAAACAAAATAACTCGGATCTTTTGGTCAGACACTATCAACAACAACTTACTATAGGAGAACAAACCAGATTTCAGAGGAGGAAGAAATCAAGAAGAAGTGCTGGAAGGGGATAGGATACACATTGAGGAAAGCACACAACTGCGTCACAAGGCAAGCCCTCACTGGTGTCCCCAAGGCCAAAAGAGGAATAGAGGAAGATAACAGAACACGTTACGCCGAGAAATGGTAACAAACATGAGAAAATTGGATAGAACTAGAAAGGAAGACCCAGGACAGAGTGAGTTGGAGAATGCTGGTCAGCGGCCTATGCTCAATTTGGAGTAACAAGCGTAAGTAAGTAAGTACGAGATGAAATCATGAACAATATAGATTATCAACCAGGTTAAATATGTCTATCCAAAGAGAACAATTGATCAACTACGAATCAAAAGGGATGTAACTTAAATGTATTAAAACATGAAATTATCTAAGGTTATCCGCAACATTTTCAATGTTTACGAGGTTTTACTCAACACTTTTGATAATTTACTTGTTCGTTTAGATGAGTAGTGTATATCAATGTGACCTTCAGTGAAGTAAACCTATAAAAAGAACTTAAGAATTAAGTGAAGACTGTATTCATCTGAAATGCAGTCACTTGCATAACTTGCTTTTCGGAGTCAATGTTATGAATTATTGATGCTCTATTTAATAGACGAAGAAGTAATAGTATACTGTCTCATTGGGTTTTAATATTTTCAAAATCGTTACTTTTGTTCAGTGACTAAGTAAAAACCCAGATTGAAGTATGATTACAGCAACTGTGGTCAGCTAGGCTAGACTGACACTCAAATGATCTGAAAACATTGATTACAAAGTCAAATAATTTGATTATAAATTAACTCCATCCTATTCAGTTTCAAGTGAACTGGACTGCTAGTTGATTCGGGAAGCAGGTTCAAGTTACCCGAGTTCGTATTTCAGTGATTTATCAAGTGATCATGATTAAATTAGACATATTAACCCATAATCCCTTTAAAACAACTGATGAGTAAGAAGATGGCACAGGCCAGCCAGAACTTTAAATCCAACGATTATGTCGTAGGTAAACACTTTTCTGGTTGCTTGCCAGGTTTAGCAGCGTCTGGTTGTCTTTCCTGACAATATGGGACCGAGGTACAACATAGTAAAAAAGAAAAAATACAATGAAAATTTCGGCTCCTCGTAAACGTCATCGTTCTTTTCCAGCCGTCCTGGAAAAGAAAATAGAAAACGTAAGTGCATGTCGATATACATTCTTATGTGCGTAAAAACACAATGTCGGCGAAAATAAAGGAAACTAAATTCAAGCACACGTAATAGGGTTAACAATTTTTATTTGAAATGAAAATATTAATATATAAGCATATTTAAATTGTTTTTTTTTTTGAAAATATGATAAATCGTAAAAAGAAAGACCGATATAATATAAAATGCCGAGTAGTTCTTTACGTGCAGTAGTCGTTTAAATGTTCTGGAAATCTTACTCTTCTTCCAGAACGCGTCGTTTTAAGTTTATTTTCAGATACATTCCGAGTCTGTAGTGATGGTTGAAGGGCAGCCGAAGTTTGCACCCATCGTTCAACGATGGTGTGGGCCACTGTTTCAGAAGTGACGTCCTTAACAGGTACTGCTTCTGGCCATCGAGTGAAACGTTCCACGCAGGTTAAGAGGCGAGAGTATCTTTTGGAATCTGGTAAAGGTCCTACCAAATCCAGATGAACATGGTCGAAAGGAGCGTCCGGAGTTTTGGAAGAGCCTAATGGACATTTGTTGTGTTTGATAACTTTAGATTTTTGGCAGCTTACACAGAAGCATGCCCATTCCCTCACGTCTTTAATCATGCCAGGCCAGCAAAACCGTTTTGCTATAAGCTTGATGGTTGCACGAACATCTGGACGAGAAAGTTTGTGCAACGTATTGAAGACGTTGCATCGATAATGTTTCGGCACGATCGGGCGATCCCTATCTGTAGATGTGTCACAAAGTAAGGTTTCCTTACCTGTTCCCATCTATTTGATGCGCAGCTTGAGTGTTGTAGACGATAACTCGTGCTGACGTGTTGAAGATGGTTGGAAGAAATTTAATGGTTGCCAATCCAAAACTTGACACAGTGCTTGAAGTCACTAACTTCTAGTCTGAGCCATGTTGGTAGATGCAGACTACTTGGTTGGGGTCCGCGTGACTATCGCAACCAATAGTTGGAGACTTTTGGTGACATGGCTCAGAATCCATCACAATAGCGTCGGTGTATAAACTCTGTCTTCCCTTAAATTGTGAGGTTAAAATCACTTCATATCTTTCTTTCTACGAACTAATTCTTTCTTCCTGTACTATATCCGTA